TACTCCGCTTGTAAAAGGCTCGGATGAGGTTGTGGAAGCGTGTCTTTGAACATTTGATAGAGAGAGTTCATATCAAGCACATTGCGCCTTTTTCACTATTTTTTCTCCTTTCTACAATCAAATTTAATCAAGAACAGCTTTACTTTTCCTCCAACCACAAAAATTTTGTTCCCCGTTATGTCGCCGTGGCAAATTTTCATCTTTGAAATATCTCCAACACACGAGATGATGCCCCTCCATTAAGAGAAATACTTTATCATCATGGGATGCATGATGCAGCTCCCAGAAATATGCGCTGAAGGAACTGTCAATCCTCTAAGTGATGAAGTAGTAGCGATCCGAACACTCTCTCTTTGCAGTACCATATATCTGAAGATATTAAATCTATCAATGAATATAATTCAGCCATATTCAGAATCACTTCTTAATTATTATTATGTGACGAAAAAGTCACTGATGAAGACATGTTAGAGAAGACATTTTCTACTTTTCATGTTTCTAACATGCTCCTGCGGCAGCAATATCGAGAAAAGGGATTTAAAAAATATTCTGAACTTTTCGCATGTCTTCTTTTAGTTGAACAAAATAATTAATTATTGCTGAAAAATCATGAGTCCCGACCAACTGGTGCAAGTCCATTCCCCGACGTGAAAGCGACTCAATTTCAAAATTCTGGTCGAGGTCGTGGATGTGGCCGTAGAGGTAGGCGTGGACGTGGACGTGGACACGATCATAGTAGATTTGTGCCCCGTAAAAATTATAACCGTAGCAAATAATAAAATATTTTTCAAAAAAGGAAAAATAACTACGATAAAAAAAATGGAGAAAAGAAAGTTTATGAAGAAAAATGCTACCGGTGTGGTATGGAAGGTCATTAGTCTCGTACCTGTCGTACGGCCGAGAATCTTGTTGATCTCTATCAAGCATCATTGAAAAAGAAAGACAAAGGCGTTGAGACAAATTTCATTGATCAAACGAATAACTATGATGATGGTGGTGATGCTGATATGACACACCACAATGTAGCTGATTTTTTTGAGTATCCTGAAGATGTAAACGAATATCCCATGATTATTTAGATATTTTTATGATTTTTTATATCTTTTATGTAATTTTCTTTCCATTGAATATTTATTTTCGCATCTTTATTAATATATATTTTTGTTTGAAATTTTCTTTCTGAAAAAGAAATTGAAGAAGTAGAGAAATGGAAAATGATATTCTTATGTTTCAACAAATACCAAAGTCATCTCAAATGGTGTCAATGTATCTCTATATATAGGTACTACAAGATCAAAGATACATATATTCTATTAAATACCCACTACTACAAGAATATGAAAAAACCTATGAAACAGTTTCTCCACTACATGAATAGATTTATGGATTGTAACTTCTATACATAATGTAGCCATAAAATCATCAATTAATCCTCTAGGAAATACAAAGGGACATTAACATTTTTAGTTATTTCATAACACCCCTCCTGGGATGTCCATTACACAAAGAATATGCCTTGTTAAAACCTTACTAGGAAAAAATTCATCGGGACAGAAACTTTAGTGAAGGAAAAAGAGTACACTATTCTTGTGTATTAATTTCTCCCCCTGATGCAAATATCATTTGAGATCTTTTAATCGTCGCATTCCAATACTCTTTACCAATTTTTCAAATGTCGCAGTTGGTAATGGCTTGGCAAATAAATCTGTCAGATTATTATCTGATCGGATTGTTGAACATCAATTTCATCATTCTTTTGCAAATCATGAGTAAAAAAGAATTTTGGTGAAATCTGTTTCGTCCTATCTCCTTTAATATATCCTCCTTTCAATTGAGCTATACAAGTTGCATTGTCTTCATATAATATAGTTCGAGAATTTTCTTTTTCAGAGGATAACCCACAACATTTTCGGATATAGTGGGTCATTGATTTTAACCAAATACATTCTCGACTGGCTTCATGAATTGCTATTATTTCAACATGATTCGATGAAGTGGCGGCTAGTGATTGCTTTGTAGATCGCCAAGAAATGGCTGTGCCTCCATATGTAAATAAATAACCAGTCTAAGATCTTACTTTATGCGAGTTGGATAAATATCCGGCATCAGCATAACCAACCAATTCAGGTTTGGATTCATTTGAATAAAATAAACCAAGATCAATTGTTTCTTGGAGATAGCGAAAAAAATGTTTAATACCATTCCAATGTCGTCTTGTAGGCGAGAAACTAAATCTTACTAATAAATTTACTACAAATGATATACCAGGTCTTGTACAATTAGTAAGATACATTAGTGCACCAATTGCACTGAGATATGATACTTCAGAACCAATTATTTTTTTATTTTCCACTCGTGCTCTAAAAGGATCCTTATTAGGATGTAATGATCTGACAACCATTGGAGTACTCAATGTATGTGATTTATCTATGTAAAATCACTTTAATATCCTCTGGGTATATGCAGTTTGGTGTACAAAAATTTCACCTTTCAAATGCTCAATCTGTAAATCAAGACAGAATTTTGTCTTTTCAAAATCTTTAATTTCAAATTCTTTTTTCTAATATTCAACACTATTTTGAATATCTTCAAGAGTTCCAATTAAATTTAAATCAATTTATACCGCAATCATCACAAAATTTGATCCATTTTTTTAATAAAAACACATGGACATATTGGATCATTAGTATAACCATCTTTAGTTAGACATTCATTGAGGCGGTTATACCACATTAGTCCAAATTGTTTGAACATATACAAAGACTTTTGTAATTTAATAGAATAAATATCTTTATGAGTTGATTTGCATGCTTCAAGCATGTTAAATCCTTCGGCGATTCTCATATAAATATAATTTTCAAGATTTTCATATAAATATGCAGTAACATTGTCCATTAGACGCATATCTAATTTTCATGTACTGCAAAACTCATAAGATATCTAAATATGATAGCATCCATTACAGGTGAATACGTTTCATCATAATGAAATCCAGGCTTTTGTGAAAATCCTTGGGCTACATGTCATGCTTTATACCTCACAATTTCATTTTTCTCATTTTTTTTCTCAAAAAATCCATTTATATCCTACTGGTTTTACACCTTCAGGTGTTTGGACTACAGGTCCAAAAACTTTTCTTTTAACTAGTGAGTCCAATTCAGATTGGATCGCATCTTTCTATTTTGGCCAATCATTTCTACGTCGACATTCATCAACCAATCTATGCTCCTGATTCTCGTCCTCTGCCATAATATCAAGTGCTACGTTATATGCAAAAATATTATCAATAATTATTTCTTTTCGATTCCAGCTTTTTCTTGGAGTGACAAAATTTATTGAATTTTCTATAATTTCATTCTATTCAAGAATTGGCACTTTAGGAGCGATCTCTTCACGAGGTTGAATTTTGTCACTAATTATAGATTCATCTACTTCTCTTTTCTTTTGAGAATTTTAATTATTCAAACAAAGAGGTTTCCCACGCTTCAGGCGTATTTTAGACTCATTAGCACTTGTAATTTATTTTTCAAGGTTATCGATTTTAATCGGAGCATTTTCAGAAAGAATATGTGATTTAGTAAATCTTTTGGAGTTATTAAATGCATCCGGTAATTGATTTGCAATTTTTTACAAATGTATAATCCTTTGAACTTCTAATTCACATTCTTTAGTACGAGAATCAAGGAAATTCAATGATTTTTTTCAAGCGATTTCCTTTTTTGGTTGATTTTTGTAAAAGTCTTGTATTATTTCCCGATAGTTATCGAGCATGTCCGCATCCTCAATGTGAGCACTAAATTTCTTAGATAATCTACATAAGACCAGATGTCATTAGTGTAATCTTTTGCGTAATACACCACTGGTTCAGTAACCAACCTAGTTGCGTTTTTAGTTCCGCTGCTTTTTTTTCTTGCTGAATGGAAGGATAATAAAAGACAGCGGTACAGATGCTAGGTTGGTTAGCATGTTGAATCCGAGATGTCCAATTTCCGACATTGATTGTTAAAGTCCGCATTCTCCTTTTCATCCTTCGATGAGCACGAATGACAATTTTCACACGCCCTTCATGCGTCCAGAGGAAAGGATGGTACTTCAGTTTTGGCCGCAGAAAATCTCTCACATTACAAAAATAATCATACTCCGCTTGTAAAAGGCTCGGATGAGGTTGTGGAAGCGTGTCTTTGAACATTTGATAGAGAGAGTTCATATCAAGCACATTGCGCCTTTTCCACTCTTTTTCCTCATTTCTACAATCAAATTTAATCAAGAACAGCTTTACTTTTCCTCCAGCCACAAAAATTTTGTTCCCCGTTATGTCGCCGTGGCAAATTTTCATTTTCGAAATATCTCCAAAACACGAGATTATGCCCCTCCATTAAGAGAAATACTTTGTCATCATGGGATGCATGATGCTCCCAGAAATATGCGCTGAAGGTACTGTCATCCTCTGAGTGATGAAGTAGTAGCGATCCGGACACTCTCTTTTTGCAGTATCATATATCTGAAGATATTAAATCTTTCAACGAATATAATTCAGCCATATTCAGAATCACTTCTCAATTATCATTATGTGGCGAAAAAGTCACTGATGAAAATATGTTAGAGAAAACATTTTCTACTTTTCATGTTTCTAACAAGCTCTTGCAGCAGCAATATCGAGAGAAGAGATTTAAAAAATATTCTGAACTTTCCGCATGTCTTCTTTTAGTTGAACAAAATAATTAATTATTACTGAAAAATCATGAGTCCCGACCAATTGGTGCAAGTCCATTCTCTGAGTGAATGCGACTCAATTTCAAAATTCTGGTCGAGGTCGTGGACGTGGCCGCATAGGTGGCCGCGGACGTGGCCGTGCCCGTGGACGTGATCGCAGTAGATTTGTGCCTCGTGAAAATTATAACTATAGCAAACAATAAATATTTTTCAAAAGAGAAAAAAATAACTACGATCAGAAAAATGGAGAAAAGAAAATTTATGAAGAAAAATGTTACCGGTGCGGTATGGAAGGTCATTGGTCCCGTACCTGTCGTACGGTCGAGTATCTTGTCGATCTGTATCAAGCATCATTGAAAAAGAAGGACAAAGGCGTTGAGACAAATTTTATTGATCAAACGAATGACTATGATGATGGTGATGATGCTGATATGACACACCTCGATGTAGCTGATTTTTTTGAGCATCCTGAAGATGTAAACGAATATCCCATGATTATTTAGATATTTTTATGATTTTTTATATCTTTCATGTAATTTTCTTTCTATTGAATATTTATTTTCGCATTTTTATTAATATTTATTTTTGTTTCAAATTTTTTTCCTGAAGAAAAAATTAAAGAAGTAGAGAAATGGAAAATGATATTCTTATATTTCAACAAACACCAAAGTCATCTCAATGGTGTCAATTTACCTCTATATATAGGTACTACAAGATCAAAAATACATAAATTCTATTAAACACCCACTACTACAAGAATATGAAGAAACCTATGAAACGGTTTTTTCACTACATGAATAGATTTATGGATTGTAACTTTTATACATAATGTAGTCATAAAATCATGAATTAATTCTCTTGAGAATACAAAGGGACATCAACATTTTTAGTTATTTCATAACACTCCCCCTTGGATGTCCAATACACAAAGAATATGTCTCGTTAAAACCTTACTAGGGAAAAATCCATCGGGACAAAAACCTTAGTGAAGGAAAAAGAGTACACTATTCTTGTGTATTAATTTCTCCCCCTGATGCAAACGTTATTTGAGATCTTTTAATCGTCGCATTCCAATACTGTTCACCAATTTCTCAAATGTCGCAGTTGGTAATGGCTTGGTTAATAAATCTGCTAGATTATTATCTAATCGGATTGTTACACATCAATTTCATCATTCTTTTGTAAATCATGAGTAAAAAATTTTTTTTGTGAAATGTGTTTCGTCCTATCTCCGTTAATATATCCTCCTTTCAATTGATCTATACAAGCTGCATTGTTTTCATAGAATATAGTTCGAGAATTTTTTTTTCGGAGGATAACCCATAACTTTTTCGGATATAGTGGGTCATTGATCTTAATCAAACACATTCTCGACTGGCTTCATGAATTGCTATTATTTCAACATGATTCGATGAAGTGGCGGCTAGTGATTGCTTTGAAGATCGCCAAGAAATGGCTGTGCCTCCATATGTAAATAAATAACTAGTCTGAGATTTTGTTTTATGCGAGTCGGATAAATATCCAGCATCCGCATAACCAACCAATTCAGGTTTGGATTTATTTGAATAAAATAAACCAAGATCAATTGTTCCTTGGAGATAGCGAAAAATATGTTTAATACCATTCCAATGTCGTCTTGTGGGTGAGGAACTAAATCTTACTAATAAATTTGCTGCAAATGATACATCAGGTCTTGTACAATTTGCAAGATACATTAGTGCACCAATTGCACTGAGATATGGTACTTCATAATCAAGTATCTTTTCATTTTTCTCTCGTGGTCTAAAAGGATCCTTATTAGGATCTAATGATCTGACAACCATTGGAGAACTCAATATTTGTGATTTATCCATATAAAATCGCTTTAATACCTTTCGGGTATAAGCAGTTTGGTGTACACAAATTTCACCTTTCAAATGCTCAATCTGTAAACCAAAGCAGAATTTTGTCTTTCCAAAATCTTTAATTTCAAATTCTTTTTTCTAATATTCAACACTATTTTGAATATCTTCAAGAGTTTCAATTAAATTTAGATCAACTTATACCGTAATTATCACAAAATTTGATCCACTTTTTTAATAAAAACACATGGACATATTGGATCATTGGTATAACCATCTTTAGTTAGACATTCATTGAGGCGGTTATACCACATTAGTCCAGATTGTTTGAACCCATACAAAGACTTTTGTAATTTAATATAATAAATATCTTTAGAAGTTGATTTGCATGCTTCAGGCATGTTAAATCATTTGGGGATTCTCATATAAATATAAATTTCAAGATTTCCATATAAATATGCAGTAATAATGTCCATTAGACGCATATCTAATTTTTCATATACTGCAAAACTCATAAGATATCTAAATATGATAGCATCCATTACAGGTGAATACGTTTCATCACAATCAAATCCAGGCTTTTGTGAAAATCCTTGGGTTACATGTCTTGCTTTATCCCTCACAAGTTCATTTTTCTCATTTTTTTTCTCAAAAATTCATTTATATCCTACTGGCTTTACACTTTCAGGTGTTAGGACTACATGTATAAAAATTTTTCTTTTAGCCAGTGAGTCCAATTCAGATTGGATCGCATTTTTCCATTTTGGCCAATCATTTCTACGTTGACATTCATCAACCGATCTAAGCTCCTGATTCTCGTCATCTGCCATAATATCAAGTGCTACTTTATATGCAAAAATATTATCAATAATTATTATTTTTCGATTCCAACTTTTTCTTGGAGTGACAAAATTTATTGAATTTTCTATAATTTTATTCTATTCAAGAATTGGCACTTTAGGAGCGACCTCTTCACGAGATTGAATTTTGTCACTAATTATTGATTCATCTACTCCTATTTTCTTTCGAGAATTTTTATAATTCGAACCAAGAGGTCTCCCACGCTTCAGGCGTGTTTTAGACTCATTAGCACTTGTAATTTGTTTTTCAGGATTATCGATTTTAATCGGTGCATTTTTAGCAAGAATATGTGATTTAGTAACTCTTTTGGAGTCATTAAATGCATCCGGTAATTGATTTGCAATTTTTTACAAATGTATAATCCTTTGAACTTCTAATTCACATTCTTTAGTACGAGAATCAAGAAAATTCAATGATATTTTTCAAGCGATTTTCTTTTTTGGTTGATTTTTGCAAAAGCCTTGTATTATTTGCCGATAGTTATCGAGCGTGTCCGCATCCTCAATTTGAGCACTAAAATTTCTTAGATAATCTACATAAGACTAGAAGTCATTAGTGTAATCTTTTGGGTAATACACCACTAGTTCAGTAACCAAACCTAGTTGCGTTTTTAGTTCCGTTACTTTTTTTTGCCGCTAAATGGAAGGATAATAAAAGACAGCAGTACAGATGCTAGGTTGGTTAGCATGTTGAATTCGAGATGTCCAATTTTCGACATTGATTGTTAAAGTCCGCATTCTCCTTTTCATCTTTCGATGAGCACGAATGACAATTTCCTCACGCTCTTCATGCGTCAAGAGGATATGATGGTACTTCAGTTTTGGCCGCAGAAAATCCCTCACACTACAAAAATAATCATACTCCGCTTGTAAAAGGCTCGGATGAGGTTGTGGAAGCGTGTCTTTGAACATTTGATAGAAAAATTTCATATCAAGCACATTGCGCCTTTTCCACTCTTTTTCCTCCTTTCTACAATCAAATTTAATCAAGATCAGATTTACTTTTGCTCCAGCCACAAAAATTTTGTTCCCCGTTATGTCGCCGTGGCAAATTTTCATCTTCCAAATATCCCCAAAACACGAGATGATGCCCCTCCATTAAGAGAAATACTTTATCATCATGGGATGCATGATGCTCCTAGAAATATGCGCTGAAGGTACTGTCAATCCTCTGAGTGATGAAGTAGTAGCAATCCGGACACTCTCTCTTTGTAGTACCATATATCTGAAGATATTGAATCTTTTAACGAATATAATTCAGCCATATTCAGAATCACTTCTCAAATATCATTATGTGGCGAAAAAGTCACTGATAAAAATATGTTAGAGAAGACATTTTCTACTTTTCATATTTCTAACATGCTCCTGCAGCAGCAATATCGAGAGAAGGGATTTAAAAAATATTCTGAACTTTTCGCATGTCTTTTTTTAGTTGAACAAAATAATTAATTATTGCTGAAAAATCATGAGTCCCGACCAATTGGTGCAAGTCCATTCCCCAACGTGAATGCGACTCAATTTCAAAATTTTGGTCGAGGTTGTGGACGTGTGATAGAGCCGTTATTTGGCACGTTTTGCATTGTCATCTTGTCCTAATTTTGGCCATTCATGGTGCTAAGAAAGGGGATTTCACTCATATTTGACATTTGTGTGAATTGTAGGTGGTTAGCATTAAAATGATATCGCGGGAAAAATTTTCCAGAAGACTTTTCATTTCAGAGCGTGGCCACGCCTTGGAAGGTGGACGAAACCGAAAGACGGACCGTGGTCCATGTGGACCAGGCGCATCGGATCAAAGCTCCAAAAGGGAAATAGCTTTTACGTTGCTTTGAAGAGAGAATTTTCCTGCGGCGGCTATAAGAGAGAAAGAAAAGCAAGATTCAGAAAAAAACTACTTTTTAGCCTAGGCTCTCTTTTTCTACTTTTTTGGGAAAAGACTTGTCAGACACTTTTGTTTTCTCTTTTGTTTTCTTCTGCGGCTCTGGGTCAGACATTGGAGACTTTCTCCTTGGCTGTAGCTTTTGTTATTGGTTTCTGTACAATTTTTCCTATTCGAGTTTTGTTTCTACTTTCGCCCCAGGGATACGAACGCGTAACCCAACAAAGGGAAGCGAAGGTTTTTCAGCCGTTCCTTCATTAATTCATCTTTTCCAATTTTTCGGCAATTAATTGAATGAATTCAATTAAATCACGCGGGACTGACACGATGAGGAGCGGCTAATTTCTTCCTCTACCCAAAGATTGACGCGAGGGCGCGGTCCATAATATCTGTGAGATCTAATCGAATCTTCATTATTTCTTCCAATTTATTGCTATTCGTGTGTTTCCTGAATTAATTGTTCATGGGTATTTTATTAATTGAATATCAACGGCCGGGTATTTGATTTAATTTAATAGCCTACTGCCACGTTAATTAAATAGAATCCGTAATTGTTCATTTAATTGACACCCCGTGGCAACCACCATAATTGGCTTTATGATGGGGAAACGCATGATCTAATTTAAATAAACCCTCTTAGCGTGTTTATTGGTTAGGGTTGGGTTCTTCTAGCTTTAATGCAATTGGGTAATTAAATTCCTATGGTCGTACCTAGGTTTGTTATCTGGTTAGGGAAGCAGTTAATGGTCGTACCTTGACTGTCGAAAAGGTAAGGAAGAACTGGTTGTCAGAGCTTATTGATAACTATAACCAACCTAGTGATGAATGGGTGAAATATCTTTGTATCGATGAACATTTACTTGGACCGTGCCTGAGCAGTTGATCCTTTGGGTAGAACTTTTGTTAATTGCTATTTTTAGTGAATTGTGCTTTGTGAGTTAGTTTTGAATTTAGTTCGCTTTGTTTTTATTTTACTTTTATTTTATTTATTTATCTCCCATTGAAAATCCCCCAATTTTGTTCTGCTGATTTGGAAAGAAATAATTTCCTACCTGCTCCCTGTGGAATCGACCCTACTTGCCATTGTACGCAAAATTAGTATTTTTATAAACAAACCCGGTATATCGGATCAAGCAAACTCTTCGGGAACAGGGTGAATCAAGTAACCCATTGCACACCTAGGGTCCCTGCTCCAGTACTTGGATTTGTTCTATAATTATTTAATTGAGGTGGTAATTAGGATTTTTTAGTAATTATTATTGCACAGGTTCGGCACCTGTCAATTTTTGGCGCCGCTGCCGGGGAGTTGGCGTTTGGATTATTTGTTTCTTTTCAAATTCAGTTCTTATTTTATTTTTATTTTATTTTATTCTTCTTGATACTTTTGCTAGTTTATGCCCCGTTCTTCTCGCACAGGTGAATTGATATACGACGCAGAGGTTGAGAAGGCAGCGCGTAAGCGGAGGCAAGAGACCAAGAGACGAAAACAAGGGCACTTAATTGCTGCAAACGAGCCAGCAGAAGACGGAGTAAGCATGGCCAACACCTAAACATTGAGGGAGTTGGCTGCCCCGGAGCTGACTCACCAGCCCTTATGCATCACATTCCCCACTTTGGCTGAGAATACTGCTTTCGAACTGAAGTCGGGGTTGATTCACCTTCTACCTTCTTTCCATGGTCTCTCTGGCGAAGAACCCCACAAACATGTCAAGGAATTCGAGGTAGTTTGCTCCAGCATGAAACCTCCTGGGGTCACTGAGGAGCAGATAAGACTTAGAGCTTTCCCCTTCTCTCTCAAGGATGCAGCAAAAGATTGGCTATACTACCTACCAGCGGGTAGTATTACCACATGGGCACAGTTAAAAAAGAAATTCTTGGAAAAATTCTTCCCTGCATCCCGAGCTGCGAGTTTGAGGAAGGAGATTTGTGGCATTAAGCAATATCCCGGTGAGTCCTTGTATGAATACTGGGAAAGGTTTAACAAGTTGTGCACTAGATGCCCGCAGCACCAAATTAGTGAGCAACTGTTAATCCAATACTTCTATGAGGGGCTCCAATCAACAGACAGGAGTATCATTGAAGCTGCCAGTGGGGGAGCACTTGCAAACAAGACACCGAGGGAAGCGTGGGAGCTCATCGAAGCCATGGCAGAGAACTCCCAGCAATTTGGTTTCCGTGAGAGCAACCCTCCCCGTAAAGTCAACGAGGTAGAGATTTCATCCATACAGCAGCAAATGTTAGAATTGACATCGGTTGTTAGGCAATTAGCCATGAGAGAAACACCGCGAGCAAAGGTGTGTGGGATCTGTACTAGCATGGACCACTGCACGGACACGTGCCCCATTTTGCAAGAGGACGGGGCGGAGCAGGTGAACATGGCTGGAGGCGTGCCCGCGCCTCGTAGGCAGTATGATCCGTACTCCAACACGTACAATCCGGGTTGGAGAGATCATCCCAATTTCAGCTATGGGAACAGGCAACAAAATTCATTTCCGCATCGTCCACCAGGATTTCAGCAACCATGGCAACCGAAATCACAACCATCATCCTCCAACACAGGGAGTTCCTTGGAGGATATTGTAAAGAGTCTGGCTACGACTACCGCCCAGATCCAGCAAGAGACTAGACAGTTCCAGCAGGAGACCAGGTCATTGACCACAAATATGGCTCAACTCCAACAAGAAACTAGAGCTTTAACCATGAGCACCACTCAGTTCCAACAGGACACCAAAGCAGGCATGAAGGACATGGAGATTCGAATGAGTCAAATGGCAACTGCCATTAACCGCCTGGAGTCCCATGTCTATGGGAAATTGCCATCACAACCCGAGGCAAATCCCAGGAATGTAAGTGCCATGACATTAAGGAGTGGCAAAGAGGTGGATGGACCTAAAGTGGTAAATTCGAAAAGCAAAAGTGAGGAGGAGATAGAAAAGGAGATTGAAGAGGAAGGGCGCATTCGCGAAGAGCCTAAGGTAACATCTATTCCTTCGATCCCTATTAAATCTAATATAGCTCCTTTTTCTTGCAGGTTGGAAAAGACAAAGAGGGCAGAGAAGGAAAAAGAAATCCTGGATGTGTTCCGCAAAGTTCAAGTAAACATCCCCCTATTGGACGCGATCAAGCAGGTACCCAAGTACGCAAAGTTTTTGAAAGACTTGTGCGTTAACAAAAGAAAGCTAAGGGGTGATGAAAGAGTGATGGTGGGAGAGAATGTATCAGCTGTACTTCAAAGGAAACTCCCACCCAAATGCGGAGATCCAGGTATGTTTGCTATCCCCTGTAAGATTGGTCATTCTAGTATAAAAAATGCCATGATAGATTTAGGAGCTTCTATTAATGTGATGCCTAAGTCAATCTATGATTCCCTAAATTTAGGACCTTTAAAAGAAACGGGGATAATAATTCAATTGGCTGATCGTACATGTACTTATCCGGATGGGATAGTTGAGGATGTTTTAGTGCAAGTAGATGGATTAATTTTTCCTGCTGACTTTTACGTGCTTTACATGGATGATAGAAGTGCCCCAAATCCATCACCCATTATATTAGGAAGACCATTTTTGAGTACTGCCCAGACTAAAATTGATGTTAGTAAGGGTACTCTCACGATGGAATTTGATGGAGAAATAGTCCATTTTAACATTTTTGATACAATGAAACATCCTGTTAACTCTCATTCTGTGTTTGCTATGTATACCACTAATCTCTCTGTGCAAGAATTTTCTAAGTTTGCTTGTAGGGGTAGATTCAAGGTTGCTGCGAACAAGTCCTATAGGATGAAAGCAATTCATGAGGTAAAAATGGAGAGAAAATTTAGGAAAAAAGTTGCACTCAATGGCCATGTGGATCCTGGAGGAGGGCCACCAATTACAAGGAAAATTCAATTACATCCAGACTAAAAAGTGGTGCTATGTCTAGCCAAAGACATTAAAGAAATGCGCTGCTTGGGAGGCAACCCAAGGCTTCTTTTGTTTTAGTTTTCTTATATTTTTTAAGTTTTTGTTAAGTGTTAGTGTCATTTAGTGGGTTGTTATTTTGTGACAGGAAGTTGGCAGCTAGGCATGCCCACGCTAGGTCATCACACCTAAGGAATGGAGTTTTGGAATTGACGGTCAGACGATTATAACTTCTAAGGCGTGCCCACGCCTTCCAACCCTTCCGAAAAAGAAACTTCAGTCTTCTCCTTCCTGTTGGTGTTACGTCCGCCGCCATCACACCACCTTGTGCACGCAGTCGTCTCACCTCCTCCGCCTTAGTGTCTCACTTTCTCTCCCCGGTGGTCAGGGAAGTTTCTTTTCTTTTCCCCTAATACTTCATTTGTCTTTTCTACATTGAGGACAATGTAGGTTTTAGGTGTGGGGGGAAGTGGCTTCCACTCCCATTAGTTCTTTCTTTTTCATTAGTTCTTTTTGCTTTGTTACTTTAAAAAAAAAAAAACACATGGGATGAATGATTAAAAAAAATGAAAAAAATAAAAAACATTGTAGTTAGTTGGCTTTTTGGTTATTTCTATGCTTGTTAGTGTTGGGGCATGTTGCTGTGATGAATGACACAATCAAAGTGAGTGGTTATGTGGTCAAGTATGCCAGCTATGCATTTTGTTTCCCTTGGCAGTGTCGTTGAATGTTGAATATGCAGGAATTGACCCATTCTTGTAACTTTTGGGGAGCTTTTGAGCCTTGCTTGAGCATATTATTCTTATTTGCTCTATTTTGTTTGATTGAGTGGGTATCACACATGGTATTGGCATTCTAGAACTTGCTAGTTTATACATGTCAAGGCCACATTTTTGTTGAATTGGATGCATTTGAAATGATAAGGGCATTTAGGATTTAACGCTCTTCAGCTATCTAAAAAAAAAAAAAAAATCAAGCCCTCATCTTATCTCCCAATAATGAACCAATTTGAGCTTTTGTCCTTCGTTTCTGGTTGATATCCGTGTTTGTTGACCCAAGACCTCTTTAAACTTTCTTGTTTACCCCTGTGTTGTCAAGGGATGCCTGAATTCCATCATTTGTGCAAAGCAACCAAAATTGGGAATGCGAGTCCTGATAGATTAGGAGCTATTTGATGCTATCCTTGTGTAAAGGAGGGGAAATTGGAAAAAGGCCATTGACCAGAGAACTTTGGCTTACAAGGCGTGCCCACGCCTTACAGGACTCTCCCTTGTAAAAAAAAAAAAAAAAAAACAAAACAAAAAAAAAACTGAATAGACCTCGTGACCAGAGGACTATGGGCTACAAGGCGTGCCCACGCCTTGTGAGCAGTTTCAAAAAAAAAAAAAAAAAAAAAAAAAAAAATTTTGGGGCACTTGTATAAGGTGTATAGCAAATGGAAACTGCCTTATTAGTGAAACCCCTCTGGTAAAGCACTATGGTTATTGGGGAGTTTCGGACATTCTCTTGACACTTTACCCCCTATCTATACCTTCTTAACCCGCCTTTCACCTGAGCCCCATTACAACCCTATTAAAGTCCCTTTGATTTATGTGTTCGATTCACTCTTAAGTGGTGGAGATGTGATAAATGTGCAAGCCTATGGTAATGGCATTCCGTGATGTTGAATTGAGCGTTCCTAGTATTCATATATATTCTTCGAATTACAACATGTCCGGTGTGTTCTACCTTTGGTGATATTGTCAGGGACCCTAGATGCTTGTGTTAGTATAGACTACTGCATAACCTCTGCTCTCTTGGTTGTATTTCTGAGCTCCGAAATGCTTGAGGGCAAGCATTGTCTAGGTGTGGGGGGATTTGATAGAGCCGTTATTTGGCACGTTTTGCATTGTCATCTTGTCCTAATTTTGGCCATTCATGGTGCTAAGAAAGGGGATTTCACTCATATTTGACATTTGTGTGAATTGTAGGTGGTTAGCATTAAAATGATATCGCGGGAAAAATTTTCCAGAAGACTTTTCATTTCAGAGCGTGGCCACGCCTTGGAAGGTGGACGAAACCGAAAGACGGACCGTGGTCCATGTGGACCAGGCGCATCGGATCAAAGCTCCAAAAGGGAAATAGCTTTTACGTTGCTTTGAAGAGAGAATTTTCCTGCGGCGGCTATAAGAGAGAAAGAAAAGCAAGATTCAGAAAAAAACTACTTTTTAGCCTAGGCTCTCTTTTTCTACTTTTTTGGGAAAAGACTTGTCAGACACTTTTGTTTTCTCTTTTGTTTTCTTCTGCGGCTCTGGGTCAGACATTGGAGACTTTCTCCTTGGCTGTAGCTTTTGTTATTGGTTTCTGTACAATTTTTCCTATTCGAGTTTTGTTTCTACTTTCGCCCCAGGGATACGAACGCGTAACCCAACAAAGGGAAGCGAAGGTTTTTCAGCCGTTCCTTCATTAATTCATCTTTTCCAATTTTTCGGCAATTAATTGAATGAATTCAATTAAATCACGCGGGACTGACACGATGAGGAGCGGCTAATTTCTTCCTCTACCCAAAGATTGACGCGAGGGCGCGGTCCATAATATCTGTGAGATCTAATCGAATCTTCATTATTTCTTCCAATTTATTGCTATTCGTGTGTTTCCTGAATTAATTGTTCATGGGTATTTTATTAATTGAATATCAACGGCCGGGTATTTGATTTAATTTAATAGCCTACTGCCACGTTAATTAAATAGAATCCGTAATTGTTCATTTAATTGACACCCCGTGGCAACCACCATAATTGGCTTTATGATGGGGAAACGCATGATCTAATTTAAATAAACCCTCTTAGCGTGTTTATTGGTTAGGGTTGGGTTCTTCTAGCTTTAATGCAATTGGGTAATTAAATTCCTATGGTCGTACCTAGGTTTGTTATCTGGTTAGGGAAGCAGTTAATGGTCGTACCTTAACTGTCGAAAAGGTAAGGAAGAACTGGTTGTCAGAGCTTATTGATAACTATAACCAACCTAGTGATGAATGGGTGAAATATCTTTGTATCGATGAACATTTACTTGGACCGTGCCTGAGCAGTTGATCCTTTGGGTAGAACTTTTGTTAATTGCTATTTTTAGTGAATTGTGCTTTGTGAGTTAGTTTTGAATTTAGTTCGCTTTGTTTTTATTTTACTTTTATTTTATTTATTTCTCTCCCATTGAAAATCCCCCAATTTTGTTCTGCTGATTTGGAAAGAAATAATTTCCTACCTGCTCCCTGTGGAATCGACCCTACTTGCCATTGTACGCAAAATTAGTATTTTTATAAACAAACCCGGTATATCGGATCAAGCAAACTCTTCGGGAACAGGGTGAATCAAGTAACCCATTGCACACCTAGGGTCCCTGCTCCAATACTTGGATTTGTTCTATAATTATTTAATTGAGGTGGTAATTAGGACTTTTTAGTAATTATTATTGCACAGGTTCGGCACCTGTCAACGTGGCCGTAGAGGTGGTCGTGGACGTGGCCGTGCCCGTAGACGCGATTGCAGTAGATTTGTGCCCCGTGAAAATTATAACCATAGCAAACAATAAAATATTTTTCAAAAGAGAAAAAAATAACTACGATCAGAAAAATGGAGAAAAGAAAGTTTATGAAAAAAAATGCTACCGGTGCGGTATGGAAGGTCATTGGTCCCGTACCTGTCGTACGACTGTGCATCTTGTCGATCTCTATCAAGCATCATTGAAAAAGAAGGACAAAGGCATTGAGACAAATTTTATTGATCAAACGAATTACTATGATGATGGTGATGATGCTGATATGACACACCTCGATGTAGCTGATTTTTTTGAACATCCTGAACATGTAAATGAATATCCCATGATTATTTAGATATTTTTATGATTTTTTATATCTTTCATGTAATTTTCTTTCTATTGAATATTTATTTTCGCATCTTTATTAATATTTATTTTTGTTTGAAATTTTTTTCCTAAAAAAAAAATGGATGTCAAATATTTGGGATTAAATAATAGTGATGACGACATTTGTCTCTTTGATAGTGCTACTACGCACACCATATTAAAAAATAAAAAATATTTTTCTTGTTTCAAAAGGGAGAGACAAATGTTAATACTATTCGTGATAGTGCAAAATTGACTGAAAGTTTCGAAAGAACCAATTTATTTCTTTCTGAAGAGACTAAAAATATATTAAATAATGCACTATTCTCTCCCAAATCTCGGAGAAACTTATTGAGTTTTAAAGATATCCGCGGAAATGGATATCATATCGAGACAATGACTGAGACATATGGTGAATTTTTATTAATCACATGTATCATTTTTAGGCAGAAATGCATATTAGAAAAATTACCTTCTTTTTCTTCTGACTTATATTATGCACAAATTAGTGCAATTGAAATTCATCACCTAGTTGACCAAAAGTCTACTCATCCCAATGATTTTATGATTTCGCATGATCGTCTTGGACATCCCGGATCTATAATGATGAGACGAATAATTGAGAATTCATATGATCACTCATTGAAAAATAAAAAAATATTAAAAGCCAATGAATTCTCTTGTGTTACTTGTTCTCAAAGAAAATTAATTATTAGACCATTACAAGTTAAAGTTGGGACTGAATCTCCTATATTTTTGGAACAAATTCATGGCGATATATATGGGCCTGTAATTCCACCATGTGGACCATTTCGATATTTTATGGTGCTAATTGATGCATCAACTAGATAGTCACATATATATTTTTTATCTACTCGCAACCTGGTATTTACGAGATTGCTTGCTCAAATAATTAAATTGTGAGTACAATTTTCAGATTATCCAATAAAGAAAATTTGTCTAGATAATGCTGGTGAATATTCGTCAAATACTTTTGACGATTATTGTATGTCCATTGGAATAACTGTTGAACATCTTGTAACTTATGTTCACACACAAAATGGTCTAGTCGAATCATTCATTAAACGGTTACAATTAATTGCTAGACTATTGTTGATAAGGTCTAAGCATCCTTCATCTGCTTGGGGACATGTTATTTTACATGCAGCAACACTTGTGAGAATTAGGCCATCAAGTTATCGTACTTATTCTCCCCTACAATTAACTTTTGGTTATGAGCCAAATATTTCTCATTTAAGAATATTTGGTTGTGCGGTATATGTTCCAATTGCACCGTCCCAACGTCGTAAATTGGGCCCCCAAAGAAGATTAGAAATATATGTCGGTTATGAATCACCTTCAATTATTAAGTATATGAAACCATTGACAGGTGATTTATTTACTGCGAGATTTGCAGATTGTCATTTTGATGAATCATATTTTCCGACATTAGGAGGAGATAAAAATCAATCGAAAAAGAAAATCACTTGAAAAATATCATTGAATTTCCTTGATTCTTGTACTAAAGAATATGAATTAAAAGTTCAAAAGATTATACATTTGCAAAAAATTACAAATCAATTACCGGATGCATTTAATGACTCTAAAAGAATTACTAAATCACATATTCTTACTAAAATGCTCCGATTAAAATCGATATCTCTAAAGAAAAAATTACAAGTGCTAATGAGTCTAAAGCACGCTTGAAGCGTGGGAGACCTCTTGATTTCAAAGATAAAAATACTCGAAAGAAAAGAGAAGTAGATGAATCAATAATTACCGACAAAATTCAACTTCCTGAAGAGGTCGCTCCTAAAGAGCCAATTCTTGAAGAGAATAAAATTATAG